TGCCGCATTCCGAATCTCGACGAAACGGCGATTCGTCGCGGGCGGCCCAGGACGTGCAAAAAACAACAACAATCTGCGAGGGCCCAGAAGCCATTGAGTGCCTCTGCCCCGGGTGTGAGTCAACCGTATACCATAAAAAAAAATATATATATATAGAACTTGGATGTGCCCATAGAGAATGAGTTCCGGCCCAGTGTGTGCAATGCGTGCCCAAAGAATTGGCCAGCGATTGGCCAAATGTGTGCGGAAACTGAGCATGGACAGGGCTCAATCCTCGAGCCGCAAACCTCGAGTCGCGTAAGCAGCATTTCCAATAAATAACTTGAAAAATAATAGGGAAGACTTCGACTCATGCCTGATAGAAAATAATTTGCTCCACAAATTGAAGCTTAAATTACTTCACTAAATATATAATTTAAGCATATTTTAGTATTTATTTTAAATTAAATGAATAGTAAATAAATTATATTTTATTATTTTATGCAAAATTTCGTGTATATAATAATAATTAAATGAATAATGAAAACAATCAATAAAAATTATATAAAAAAACGTATTTAAAATAAAAAAACATAGCTCGTTGAAACAAAACATTTTATAAAGAACTTTATATGAAAATAAAAATATTTGAATTATCAAATATTTTTATTTCAATTTTGAATATTTCTTAGTCTCCAGAGTTATTCCTTTTTATTTTATTTTTAAGCACAAAAACGTTTATATTTATTGAAAAAACACAGAAAATGAAATAATATAATAAAAATAATTAACAATAAAATCAAGTAAATATATTATATTAAAACTAAATAAGTTAAAAAATTAAAGTAAAAGGAAAAATGTCAACTATTTTTTATTTTAAAATGTGAAATTTTTTTATTAAATTTAGTTAATTTTTTTATTTTGTGTCATAATTAATATTGAATTGAAATAAATTAAATAATAAAATATAATTTGCAAAAAAAAAATGAATAAAAAATATTTTATATTTAAATTAAAATTAAAATTAAAATTATTAATGTAATAAAATTATATTTTTAATATTTTATATTTTTAAATATTGCTTAATTTGCATGTATTTATTATAATTTTTAAAAAATATGTTTATGTAAAATTTTATATTTTTAAGACAAAAAAATTATTGAGAATAAAGAAATAATTAAGATAATTATTTAAGTGCAAAAAAAAGTGAAAAGAAAAGATACAATTAATAATTAATTTAAATAAAATAAAAAAAATATAAATAAATTATTTCATATTAAAGTTAAATCAATTTGCAACCTGAATATAAATATAAAGTGTTATGAAATATTTTAGCTAAAATATTTCTTAAATTTCTTCAGTTTATATATATACAGTTGATGTACATATGTATATATAGCTGCTATAAATATGTCTTACCTGTGGTACAATTGCATCCTGCTTTCATGCAATTAAATTGATGTTTGCTTTGCTCAATTTTGAGCTGGGCAATTGATTTCTTGGCTTCACAATGCTTTTCACGTTTTCACCGTGTTGCGAATTTCCCAATTTCCGCCAATTTGCAATTTGAAAATGGAATAAAAAAGGCCGCATACTTGAATGCTTGATCCTCGACGTTTCCAGCTCGTCGCTTTCGATTTGTATCAAATATCGGAGGGAGCAGACGGCAGACGGTAGACGGCAGACGGCAGACGGCAGCAGGAAAGGAAAGGAAAAAGAAAACTCAACTGTCTGAGGAGCTATTCAACCAACAATCAGAGCTGAAAGGTGCATGGGATTTGTGCCTCTGTACAGGGTATGTATTGATATACCCTGGACGTGGAAACATATTGTGGAGTTCGCTAAATTGCACTCGTTGCAAGGCACGGAAGAAGTCAGAAGTCGATCAAGTGTGGCGGCTCATCCCGAACGTGGAGAATCGAATAGGGACTGCAAAGCTATGCCAAGGACTCGCAGCAGCTCGCATTGAGCGACTTAAGGAGCTGGCACATTCGTGCAGCTTCGCCTCTGTGTGTGTATGTGTGTGTGTTGTTTGCAATTGTCTTGGAAAACATTCAAGTGGAAGTCCTTTGAGCGATTTGATTCCCTTTCGGCTGCAGCTGTCCCGCTCCCGCACCCGCCTGGCTGCCGCAATGCACCGACTCGCTCCCACCCACACACCGTCTCGATTGTTGCGCTCTGTATGCAAAATTTGTTTGCAGTTTGCTGTCATTGTTGGCATTGTTCTGCGCTCCTCAAATCCCAGCCGCATCCTCGTCCTCAACTAAACTCCCAATACGCTCTCGATGTGTGTTTGTTCGGGTTCGCTTTGTTGCTGAACGGTGTTGTGTTGTGTTCTCCTGTGTTGAGCTGTGTTTTGTTTCATTTTCTTTTCAATTGCTGCAATTTGCATGCGCACGCTTTCCTCCGTTTTTCATTCCCAGTTTCCATTTTCCATTTTCCATTGTTCGACAATCATCGAGCAAATTGTTTGGCTTATGTTCTGGTCTGTTTTGCCTCGGACGCCACCTAATGAACCCCGCAGTGCATACCCCCCGCCCACACTACAATTGATCCACAATTCAAAATCCACTTTTCCACTGGCCCTCTACAAGCATCGCTCTGAGCCAGTGTCCAAGTGCTGTCCCTCTGTGCTTCAACAGCCAGGCTTACGCCGTTCCCGCAAAGCACTCCAAGTAAGCAACTAATCTCTTGCCGATTCGTTTATTTGCATGCATGCTCTTGCCTTGCATTAGCTAATAAGCACCCGATACGAGCTATAGAGCATTTCTATTTGTCTTTCGTCTGCATAGCTCGGGCTGCAATGCGAGATTTGATTCAGCGCCATCGGGAGAAGTCTCATCCAAGAGTTGGCCAAAAAAGATCTCTCGAGAGCAGACTCTCACCCAATTAGCCTGGTTAGACGCTGCTAGCGCCTGGGCTAGAACTAGGAGAAAGCTTAGACACCGCCACCCTCAAGTCGTACCCAGCCAAGTCTTGACTTTAAATACATCAAATGTTGCTGCTCTATAAGTCTCTCTTCCCCAAAGCACTAGATTCTGTGTTTGTTATCGTTGGCTAAACTCTTTTTAGATCAAGTTGCCCAAAAGGCAGTCACTAAATGCTTCAGCTTATTAAGACTCTGAATTGAGAGGAGGACTATCATCAAGGCATTCCATAGATTTGCTTAGCTCTTTCTTGCGAGCACTCTATACTGATTCTTATAGTGCTCTGTTAGCATTAGTCAGAATCATAGTATAGCTAATATATATATATATATAGTTTTGTTCATAAAAATAGTAGTGCACTAAGCAAAACATTAGCCAAATGAAAAATAAATTTTTCTTTTGAAAAATAAGAACTATGAAAAACAGCTAAAATTTTCCAAGAGAATTAATTATTTTTACGATTCGTTCATAAACTTAGTACATCTAGAAGTCGAAAAATGTAATAATTGTAATAAATTATAAATATATATATACATATATATATATATATATGTATGTATTTATTAAAAACAATAATAAATAAGATTTATGCATATATAAAATCTTCGTTTGTTGCCTACTCCAGGGCGCTACAGACGTTAGTTAATGCATTACGTAGACATACATAGTTCTATGTATACAGCACACAAATACACAAGCGCATATACATATACATACATAATGCATCCACACACACGTGTGTACCCACACAATTGGCCATAAAACAAAAACAAGAGAAATTAACATGTTTGCTAGATTAAATCAACTTTATTAATTACAAGTAATTAAAGTTTAATTAAGAGACCAAGTGCAGCACAACTTTGGCTGCTGCTGTTGGTGTTGTTGTTGTTGTTGTTGAGGGGCTTTCAAGGTTGTGCGTGTGTGTGTTCGTGTGTATTGCATTGCATATGGAATGCAAATATTTGTTTGCCATTTAACTTATCGATGCGTTCGTATTTTTGTGCAACTCACACAACAATAACAACAACAACAACAACAACAACTGCAACAAAAAGAAGAACAAAAACAGCCACAAAAGTCAGCATTAGAGCAACAACAATATGAATGGCAGAATGTAGTGCATTGCGGTAGTTGTTGTTGCTTTTGTTGTTGCTGTTGCAATTTTGTTTGTCTGTTTAATTAAAGCAATATGTGGCCTCGAGGAATGTTGGGTTAATTGACTCATCACTTATACGACAAACGAAGCACAAACAAACAAGCAAACACACACACACACACACATTCAAGCACACACACACACACTCACATGGCAGCTAGCTGGCTGGCAAAATGGGGGAACACAGCAGCTGCGTCGCAGTTGGCGGCGACGCCAACGTTTACGCACATAGGGCTGGGCGTTGCCCAATCGAGTTTTCTTATTTGTGAAGTTTGTGCGCATCGGCGAGCTGTGCCATGCCAGCCAATGGCAGCTGTGGATGTTATTGGCATACGCCCACACATGGCATTGTGTAAATTGAATGCGAGCCACACCAACACTCATAAAGTCACTCAAGAAAAAACTGGTAACAAGCTGGCAGAACAAAATAGTGGTATTTCAGCTTGGCGCGCAACCAACTTCAAGTGGGAACAGAATTTAATGCACAGCCAACTTCAAGTGAGCGCAGAAAGCAGCTGCAGCCAACATAATGTTAGTTTGAACTTAGAGCGCACACCGCGTTGCCAACTTAGTGTCTGCTAACTTATCGATATATCTACAAGTCTTAAATAAGTATGATTTCTGTCATTGACACTGTACGGTCACATTGCATGGCGGGCAATTCGTTTTTTATAACAAAAAGTAACATTCAATTTTGTATTTTGCTAACGGTACAATATTGATAAGTATTTATGAAAGCAATTATTTATAGTGCACACATAGATTTTAACAAGTGTGAGTTGGGTACAGCTAAAATTTACAGCCGACAACAGATTATGTTAGACATCGGTTAACAGTGCAGCTAACATGATGGAGATCAGCTTAACATTTACAGCGAGTTAGCAGTCCGTTTTGAGCAATAACATAATGCCAGCAGATCATTTGAGTAACAACAGCGAGGCCACTTAACATACTACGCTATCTAAATACTATTTTAGCATTAAACAGCAAATACGCAACAACAACGACAAGAATAACAACAAAACGAAACGGTACATCAAATGTATAATCGGCAGCCAACAAGTTGTTTGCTGTTGTGCTCTTGCTGTGATTCCAACTGACCGACAAATTCGTTTCTGCCCGTTCATTGCGAGAGACTGTGTCAAGTGTGAAGTGTAGATACGTGCGTGCATATTATTGTTTTTCAACTTCTTTTTTTTGTTTCTTTTGTTTTTGATTTGTGTGTTGTTTTTACGCTTGTTTCTTCTTGCATTGCATCGGCTTTTGTCGCCTGGCGGTCAAGAGACAGATACGTTTAATCCCAATCCAAATTCCATTCCGTTCGCGAACCGCGACTCATTTGGCAAGCAAGAGGAACACATAGACGGCGGAACGGGAGCGGCAACCTGCTGGTCGTGATAAAAAGCGCTGCGCTAGTATTCATGGGGCATGGAAATGAATCATTCTATTCGGCCCGACTCGTTCCCGTACTAAAATAAAATAAAAAAAGAAGAAGAATAAGAGAACGAGCGCCAATCATAAATAAATAAAGTGTATGTGCCCAACCTAAACGAAACGATAAGAGTAGTTACAAATACAACCCCGACTCCGACTCGGACCCGCACCCGGACTCGTACCCTCTACTCGCACCCGATCCAGTTCACGTTCCCGGATTTCCTATGCATCCACTGCATACCATTTATACCACAAATGTGCGCAACTAGTCGCAGTTGCAGTTGCGCGTAGGCTGTCGCTAATGTGGCCAATGAGTGCACTTCGTTTTTTTAATGTGTGAGTGCCTGCGTGTGTGTGAGTGCCGCGCACAGGTTGAACGATTTCGTGTTAAATGTGGGCCAACATCGACAACAAACAGCGACACAAATTTCGCATAATTGCATAGAAATTTACAGCTGTCCAGCGACAAAAGCGAAAGGTAAAAGTTAATATTTTCTTTATCTGGTATTAGGTTAATTTGCATAAATTGTTCATATGCTCATATGTATATGTAAGTATCTGTGTGTATAAGAAAAATAATAAAAAACATCTGAATGCGTGTTGAAGACAATAACAAAACAAAAACGAAAAAAAGAGGCAGCAAGCGTCACATTTTGCGTCTCTCTTTTGTTTTCATCTTCTATCTATCTCTCTCTCTCTCTCTCTTTGTCTGGCTCTTCTTCTGTCTGTTAACCTTTAGGCGGGCGCCTGCATCTTTGACAAACAATACACGTCTATCGGACTGCATGTGTTTGTGTGTGCGGATTTTCTGTTATGTGTGTCTGGTAATCCATTATCTAACTCTTAACAGTTGCTTAACACCCAAAAATGCTGAGCGAAGTGCATTCCAGTCAGCAATTGTCTGGCGCTCTCACAGCCAGTTTCGATTTCCACTTCACACGCAGTTGCTGCATTCACATGCACATACACACACACACACACATGTATATATATATATATATATATATATATATATATATATATATATATATATATATATATATATATATATGTATATATATATATATGCACGCACGCATACGTCTGTTATTGTCGTTGCTGTAACATTATCATTTTAGCACAAATTGTTGTTTTTGTGTCCAATAACTTATACATAACTGCTTATCGGTCCAATTCTGCAAAGGGAAACACAGAGAGATAATAACAGTGAGACATGGAGAGGGAGTGAGTGTGAGAGAGACAGAGAGGGAGGGAGGTAGAAATGTTAAACTTTAAACGGTGTCAGCCGTAATCGCTCGCCCTTTCTCTGTCACTCCTATATCAGCTGTGCAGCCAGCCATGGGTCGCACAGTGTCCACCTGTTGCTGCAAAATGGGACAGAACAGGCGCCGCTTTGGCCATGGGGCAAAATTCGCATTCGGATTCTTGTTCTCGTTCCTCTTGATGTTGTTGTTATTGCAGTTGAGTACGCGGTTTTTTAACGCTTTTAATTGTTTGGCAATTTAAACAATTATAAACATATTAAGTCTGATGCTGCTGTTGACGGCTGACACACATTCTACATGGTACATACAAACATACAAAAATACATGTATGTATGTGTATATGTATATATATGTGTGTGTTTCTGATGGCTTTTGTTGCTGTGTCAAATTGTTTTGCCCTTTGGCAAGTCTTAAGCGTTAAGCTCTCAGTTTGATAATCGCTTATTGATATTGTTAATTATAACGGTACACAATATGCACACATACAAATATAAGTGTGTTTGTGTCTAGTCTAAAGGATGTCTGTAAGCAGATATTATGACAGCTTATTGAGTGTCTGTCGAGGCAATCATATTTTGTCAACCTCTATGAAATGAGTGAAATGTTAACTGATGGAAAATTGTTAAAGCAAACAAAGAAGAAAGTTTTACAGTCAATGAATATTTGTATGTATGTGCGCACAGTATATTTCCATAATTTGCAAAGTACATTGGAATTCCTTTGTATCTTTTACATTTGAGATTGTGTTGTTATTGTAAATACAAATCGAGCAGCATTTACAGGGTATTTATATACAAACAAGTTGTCATTTTGTTAAGCTGCACAAGCGACTCGTTCAACTTTTCAACTTGTGCAAACAAAGCACATCCAGCCCCACAATTGCAGACAAAGACAGCAACAACAACGACAACATCGGTCTGAATGGCTGACAAGCCCAAAAACCAGATGGGTCAGCATTCGCGCGACACGTCGCCTTCAAGTGAACAGCGTATTGAAGCAGACACACTTACGCACACATATGCACATATGTATAAGCATGTATATGTATGCATGTCCAACAGTCTATGCAGTTGCATATCAGCTTTGTTATTCTTTGTCAGCTAATCAAGCAACGCATGCGCCCCCTTGATCTTTTTCTCTTCCTCTGTCTCGCTCTCACTCTCACTCCATTACTCACTTTGGCTCTGCTGGTCATTCGCTCTTTGAAGTGCATACAAATGTCGTAAGCGCATGCGCGTGTATAAATCAAATCAGAATCGTTAAATCTACGACAAAAATGTGGTTGAGCCACTTGGATGTATCGATTGGATCGATAGCAGCAATTATGAATCGAAAAGTATACAAATGCTTGCAATCGATACATTAAGAAATTATGTTCATGGCATGGCCTAGAGTAGGTTTAATGCAATATCAATGGTTCAATTTAGTAATGTAATGCTAGAGTATAAAATGCTTAGCTAATAATTGTGCAGCAGCATTGCATTGGAGCAATACGCAAATAAAAGCAAATTTATAATAATATAAAAGTCATTTTATTAACGCCTTCATGTAATATTTTGCAATTAATTAATAGATCTGCTTTATGATATATAATTATAATTTATATATAATTTAGCACTATAACAGTGGATCTAGTTGTCTAGCCCATTCTATTATTTCAGTGTATAAAATTATAAAGCTTGAACTAATGTATATATTAATGGCACTCTAGCATTCTAGTAGTATAACTGTATGACAGTGTAACAGTATAACAGTATAACAGTATAACTGTATAACAGTATAACTGTATAATAGTATAACTGTATAACAGTATAACAGTATAACAGTATAACAGTATAACAGTATAACAGTATAACAGTATAACAGTATAACAGTATAACAGTATAACAGTATAACAGTATAACAGTATAACAGTATAACAGTATAACAGTATAACAGTATAACAGTATAACAGTATAACAGTATAACTGTATAACAGTATAAAAGTATAACAGTAAATCAGTATAACAGCATAACATTCTAACAGTATAACATTCAAACCGTATAACAGTGTAACACAATGTTACACTAGAACACTATAAAAGTATCACAGTATCGCAGTATAAAAGTGTAACACTAGTAAAATCGAATGACGTTTCTTGCTTTGCTCCCTCATAGGCATTTAGGCCTGGTGCTAACGCAGCACATGTGTATAACTATTACAGTTAAGCCTCGCTCACCCTCTTCTTACCATATAGTTTTAATCACGTTCACATTCACATCCCATATCCAGTTGCTTGGTATGCAACTTGAACTCCTGCGGCATCAGCGTTTTTATTCTTGGCCGGACATGCCGGCAGATAAACACGAATGATATAAATACTCAGAAGTGACTAGCGCAAATGTTTATTCATTTATGTATGTTTGGCTTTACATACACACGTACGTACATATGCATGTGTCTACATGTATGTACATGTATCTACATAATTATAAGCCATGCGAGTGATTCACAATTGGCAACAGCGATACTATTATGCGACGATAACAACAACAATAACAACAACAAGAATAAACATCGCCAACAAGAGCAATCAAATGGAAGGGCAAGTGATTCATTCTCCACTACCCCACTCAGAGCGTAGACTGCTTTTTTTGTTGCTTAGATATCCCGTTCTCAGAGCCAGCGTCTACTAAAATCCAGTCTAAGCGGAGTAAGCTCCGCGGCGAAAAGCTGTTCGAAACTGTTCTCATTTAGCGAACGTTTCGGAACATGCGGAACCATGCTCAATTAGTTCCCATAATAATAATAAAGTTTTTATATGAAACTGCGAATTTCGCCAGAATATGACTAAGGGCTATTCAGAGTACATATATTGCTAATTCTGTGTGTCAATCAAACACAAATTGTTGGATGGCAGCTCGAATTGAAAAATGCATTTGCGAATACTATATAGAAGACTTTTCGCAGTTAGATCAGACAGTTTCGATGTACGAGATATATGTAAACATATGATATGATATAATAAACAAAAGTTTCAAGAATGAAATGATATATGTCCCATATTATAATTCACTTCATTATTACTGACATTGCAAAATATGAGCCAATAGTTCGCACCCGCCTCGGGATCCATGGATTTAATTTCTAAAATCTAAAATTTGATCTCTCATTCCTCAGTGTTGACTTTCTAGCTGCAAACGAGTTTTGTTTTCTCGCACTAATGAGTTTTTCGCTTACACTTGCGCATTTGTGTAAATAATTGAAATTTCTCAACCAATTTCGTTCAGTGTTCATATTTGAGTATTTGTTTATAATAAACAGTTGATAAGTTATAACAGTCGGCGGACTGAGCTGCCTTCTGGGCGCCTGGCTCTGTGAATGTCGCGCTGATAGCAAAGCTCTGATTATGTCGCAGTTTTTAGTATATTGTCGGCACAGCTTAAAGCTACAATCTGGGCAAATGTTATAAATAATATGTAAAGGGCAAGAGAGAAAGGTTATATCAAAATATATCAACTCGATGAGCCACGAGCGTGTTGAGTCTTTGCTTATCTTTAACTATTATTTAAAGAAAGTTGAACAATTATTATTGATAATTATGAGATATTGTTAGATAAATATATAGATATATAGATATATAGATATATAGATATATAGATATATAGATATATAGATATATAGATATATAGATATATAGATATATAGATATATAGATATATAGATATATAGATATATAGATATATAGATATATAGATATATAGATATATGAATATATAGATTATCATCTAGCTGTGACAAATATACATTTTCGCTAACAAATAAATCTTAATTCAATATTTAATTCGGGTAAACATGGGCAAATACATATGTACACAAAACTTGTAGTCTAAAATCACAAATTGAGATTATAGAGTCAAACAGTCAGATGGGAGGGGTTGCTAGACGAACAATGAGAAAAAAACATATTTTTTTAGTAAGTATTTTCGATTCATATTCAGATTGATAAATTATAAAATTTCATATGTTATGATATGGTGACATTGGTATATTTTAAATGATGGATTCTTCTTTCTATTCCAATAATATATTAGCAATATAAAAGCTATAATTCATTGATTTTACTTAATCTGGGAATTTAATCAGTATATAATACCAGACATCATACTCATATTAATACTTCTGATCGACTCAACACTGTAAGAGCTAAATACCTGAAAACATTTGCATATTTAACATATTTAAATATAGTTGATATATGCATATATGCATATATATAGATATGTTCTATGGATAAAGAGATTTATTCAAAAGTGAATTGCAAGCCGGTTCGGTTGAGAACTGTTCCCAGCTGTAGAGTAAAATGCAACGAAGAATGTATTCTGAGGGGTGTTTTGGAATACTTATTATGGGACATACATATGTATATATATCCCAATATACTCTTACAATATGCCTAAGCAGTCTTCGACTAAAACAACTTTCTACCAGACTTGCGATAATTGCAAGATAAGGAAATATTTTTGTTGCTTCAATTGTTCTGTTGTCTTTAGTCATTTGCTCACAGCTCTGCTACACATATACATGTTATATATAGCTCTGAAAATGGTGTATTATATATATTTATATATATATATATATTATGCACACTATGTATATTTGTATGAACTGAGACGAGCGTCATGTGAACTTGAACCACTTTAGTATGAGTCTCTTATGTATCCCGCCTTGGGCTGAATATTAACTTTCGTCACATATGCAAGGAATTTGATATGGCATTCGTCATTTGTCAGTCGGTGCAGAATTCGAAATGAGGTATACGAGAGAGCAGCCAGCCAATTGGTGTGAGTGCACACTAATAATGATATATCACAATTGTCTGGGGAGACCAACTTGGGAATGGTTAATGAATTTAACGAGCTGCCCATTCATGCCTTATTTGTGATTTATAATTGTCGCAATATCGTTGTCGTTCTCGTTGTTATCGCAAAACTATAAATGTAACATCATAGCTCCATGCGATACGCAGCCCATTCGACATGTATACGATATATGTATATATATGTTTATATACTCTGCAGACACATTGATTCATTGGGTCGTGAAACAATTGTCCAAAGCAGCTTTCCGATTAATCATCAGGCGCGCTTTATTCGATCGAGGGCGGAGCGGATGGGCCGATTGAATGAGATGACTACTCGTGCATAGGAATCGCTGCACAGTCTGAAGATGTCAATCGTTGTCAATCAGTTCCTTCGTCTGCCTCTTCCTGCCCGCCAGCATCTATGCAGATGGACGGCCATGTGCATGGTTCATACGTCCATTTATTCAACTTGCAGCAACAACAAGTTTATTAAACATTGTAAACAAAACCATTGAGCCAGATGCCCAACGCAACTTCCATTTGAAGTGCTGGCCACTTAAACAGCAACGGCAACATGAACTCTAGTTGCCTTCCCGAACTGGCAGTTGACAGTTGAGAGCTGGAGAGATCCAGAAATTAAATACCATCCATTAAATGGTTGATTGCAGGCCCTGGTACAAGAGGTGTTGATGAACTACAATGTCCGCCAATTATTGCAATCTCTCTAATCTATATGACCCTAGGCTGTGTGAATAAGTCCTATGAAACCTTCATATTCGAAGCGAGTCTCACTCGCCTCAGACATCTGTTAACTGCACACACTGTAATGCCTCGACTGTTAACCTGATGCTGTTAACCAAACTCTGTTAATCTAAGAATAACGCAATTCAAGTCGAATGCATTTCCTGATTGCTGTTTAGAATCACAAATGATTCATTGCATCTGCATAATGCAGTCATCCTACTATATCTGTGCCGCTTTGATTTCGATATATATATGTACATATATCGTATATATCTGTGTATATACGCTTGTGCAACTTAATGGCCACTCGCATTGGCTTTCTTTGTGAATTGGCCAAGTTAAAGTGTCATTAAAGACTCTTCTTTTTTGCAAAAAGAAACAGAGAGACAGAGAGAGAGAGAGAGAGTTGCTCTGCGAGGGGGAGAGCGAGATCAAAGAGGAAAGTGAAAGCCAAATGGACAATTAATGATGTCTATCGACTATCGACGGCGATTGTTGTGCTTCAAATTGGCCCATGTAGTGCTGGGGGAAACACGTGTCAGTCATTTTGCTCGAATGTTGTTTTTTTTTCTACTTTTATTTATCTTTATTGACCTGGCTTGCTGCTCTGTTGGCGTAGTGCACTAGGTGATACGTTCCACTCAGCCATTCAGATTTTGCTGGAAGTACTTACACACACATATGCGCTGTTAGCTAAGTGAACTTGGGTATACCCGGTACACTGTACCCTGTAGACATGAAAACTGATTCATCAATCAGCTCAAGAAATATCAAACAGATCAGAAAGCAACGTTCTGATTGAATTATCTGGGCATGCTATATCTACAGACGCTGGCTAGGAATAAATATGTTCTATATGAGATTGAAAGAGGAAGAGATTCAATATCTCTCTCTCTCTCTCGCTCTATCTTCTTCAGATATCAATTTGATCTGCTTTAGATTGTTTCAGTTGATTTGATTTGTCGCCAAATCTCATGCTCCTGTAATTAAAGACTCTTACGACAGGAATTTTCAATTTGCTCTGGCATATGTATATTTAAATATGCATGCTATATATAGCATATATATATATATAGATAAAGCAGCGATGTCTGTGCAATGTGGTTGCTGTTCGATTAAGTGCACTTTTATACTTGGGCATCCAGCAGATAATTGTATATATTTAGTTTGTCGTTTTTGCTGCTGCTGTTTGGAGCTTTATTGGTCACTTTGTCAGATTTCCTAGTATGATAATTTCCACTTAAATATGCAAAACTTAAACTACTTAAGAGATAAACTGCGTAAAGCAGTGCGTCTAATTGCTCAACTCGTACTCGAGTCGCCGTCGCGCCAGCGCTAGCCTCAGCAGACGCCGCTGCTCCAGCTGCTGCAGCTGCTGTTGGACGAGCAGACGATGCAGCAGCTCCACTTTCTCATAGGCCGTCGTCTTTGCCTGGCCGTGGTCGCGTGGGCGACGCAACTGCTCTTTGGTCTCGAGTGCCCTTGACTGCGGCTGCGGTTGCATCTTTGTCGTCGTTGCAGGAAAACTGAGCAATGTGTAGAGAAACTGGAATAGCAGACAGCACAGCAGGGTCCACAAATTGCACTGGCTAGCAAAGTGTTGCATGTTACTGCACTGACTCGATAGCGTTTAATGCGCTCCTGCCACAAATTAGAACCAACTTTTATATGCAGCAGGTAGGCAGATCAGGACAGACTGCTTGCCTGCAGCTCAGTTCTGACACAGGCAAAACCCAAAAGTTAAAAGCCATAAAAACGTAATTTTATAATAAATACCTGCGTTGCCTTTTACGAGCCCTAAAATAATCCCAAATTACAATTTGCAAATTTTCCCAAATACTTTCTTTTATTTTATATTATTTTATATTTATTTATATATTGCTGTAAATATATTTACTTACAATTATTATTTAATTTGATCACTTTGTGCTCAATAGTTTTTTTTTTAATAAATTTAATATATATTATTAAACATCTTAAATCAGATACACCTCAAGAGATGTAAATAACTGTAAATGAGACTTAACCCGCAGAATCAGCTAATAATGTATAACTTGCCAGGTGCTTAATATATATATATCTCAGAAAGAAAGAGAGAAAAAATAATATAGAATAACTAACTAGTTAATATAGATCTATATGGTTTCTACAGATCTTATATAGTTTTGTATTGTATTATAACTATATTTTATATATATATATAAGATCTGTATAAACTATATAGATCTATATTAACTAGTTATTATATCTACTATTATTATAATAATATTATATCTATATATATCTAAGATAGACATAGTCGACGATTCTCTAATAAGTACTTAGTCGACCAAAGACAGAGCCAGAGAATTATCGTGTAGTACATAAAGATAGGAACGCTGTAGTATACTTTATTAGCGATCATATAACTATATACATACATATACATATACACTTACATAGCATATACTTATTTATGATAGACGATAAAGTTAGTATCTTTAGCTTTTACAGATATATATATATATATATATATATATATATATATATATATATATATATATGAATAGATAGAGAGAGAGAGAGAGATAGAGTGAGAGAGAGACTAGGCTAAGCCCCTGGGCTGTTGAGTAAGTTTGCATAGTTTTTGATGTTTCCCAATATTGGAACCATCATTCCATTACTATATATGACCTATAATATTTTCACATTGATTCTGCGGTTTGTATGCCTCATCGGTCGAATCGGTGCAATTCCTTGGAATTACTATATAAATATGTATATATGTACTATATAGGTTGACTCTTGTATATATCAAATGTTGTGCTTATGCGAAACTCTTTTCGCTCTTTGCTTTGCTTTGCTTTTAGTCCTTGGTCATGGAACAGGCGGGCACGCAGACGCGTCCTGTGCCGGCGCCGCGTCGCCTCTACCCGGAGTTACGCGCCGCCAACTACGAGAATATCGAGATCAATGTGGGCAGCAATGCCAGCCGCAGCCCAGCGAACTGTAACAACAACAACAGTGCCAACAACAATGCCAACAACAACAACAACAACAACAACATCAACATCATCAGCAGCAATAGCAATAAGATGAAGCTAAACATTAACGCAGAGAATCTGCATGGCAGCTGCGCGGAGAAGAAGCTGCCGGCCAGCGGGCAGAGCAAACTAATACTGCAGGAGCAGAATGTGGAGCAGCCGATATACGGGCCAGATGCCAATGAGAATGTGCCCGCCGAGCCGTTATATGCCATGCCCATGCCGGCGCCCAGGCAGCGAGCACGGGCCGAGCTGCTACCGGAGATGACGGAGGAGATGGCCGAGCAGGGGAAGAAACAGGAGCAGCAGGCGCCAGCAGTGCCCTTGGTGATGCGAGCGGCACCACAGGTGCCATCAAAGCCGCTGAACATTGAGCAGGAGCGACGCAGGCCCGACCGCTGCTCCATCTCCAGCGAATTCTCAACGACGAGCGCCAGCGGTGCGAACGGCCAGCCGGAGAACGATTCACGCTACACATCCAGTGGGTCGCTGAACTTCAGCGAGAGCTCGCAGAGCAACAAGTTCAAGTCGCCGTCACCCGGGTACGTAGACGAGGGCGAGCAAGTGGCTGAAGATCAAGAGCAAGATCATGGGCGTGATCTTGAGGGCGATTACGAAACGAACACGGAAACAGAAACGGAGGCGGAGGCGGAGGCGGAGGCGGAGGCGGAGGCGGAGGCCGAACGCGCCGCCTCGTCCGATCAGTCGGAGCTATCCGCCAGCTGTGACGATGACAAGTAAAATTTTATCTACAATTTTCCATTTGTTCTTTATCTCTTCTCCTACGACTCTTTGGTGCCTTTCATCCTTTTTTGCTCATGGTATTTCCCATAATGTTTTTTACTTGACTCGCACCTGCCCCGTAACTCTAAGGTATTCCGATTCTCTAATTTCGTTTGCCAACTAACTTTTGGAACCGGTCTGGTACGTAACCCCGTAGAAACGCTAACCGAATCATCCAACATGGATGACAAACTACGTAGAAGATGCACCAGAAATCCTAAATAAAAAAAAAAACTGACCTTTGGTTATGGACTACATCACAATCGTGTAGAACTGAGTAGTTGACATTGAAAGCACTGTAAATTCATGATATACACTGACTGCCTGAAGATCTCTTAAGGTCTTACATAAATATGATATAAGATTGCTATTTGTACAAACTTAAGATCTGTTGGATCACTTTGCTAACAGCTCGAAACATTGTAAATTTGTATAGTTTGATTAACAAAATAATGAATACCAGTTAAGAATTAACATGCACTTTGACAAGCACTTTATAAACTAATCGAATCTTGGCTATTTCCACAAGATATTGAACTAGTATTAGTAGCAGTCCAACACGTAATTCAGTTTGGTCAGCTGGACAATTATGGTTAAAGCTGGATTCCTTTGATCGTTGCCGACTACGGTCTAACAGTCTCAACTGAGCAAATAAGCTTACAACTTCTCCAACGAAAGACTCTTGATTAATATATTCAATTCTGAAGTGTTCGAAATTTCTCTCAAAACAGAATTTGAAAAACTAAACTAAAACGCTCGGAAATGCAATTTGAATAACTTGAATTTGCTGGCATTCAGAATGTTTCTTTCATTAGTTTGCTTTGCTTTATTCAAATTGCATTGCGATCGATGGCATCATTTGAGCTCGGGTCATTGATCTGACAGCTCAAGGACCTCACTTAGTATAGGGTCCCACCTTTAGTTGGGCATGGCTAGACACAAGCGACAGCTGAAACTGTTTAAGGAATCACAATTCCAATTGCCCAAATCTGGTATCGCTGCACACTTGAGTACCTCTATGTGTGTGTGTGTGTGTGTGTGTGTGTGTGTGTGTGTGTGTGTGTAAGCATCTGCAGTCGATCTGCCTTGATGCAGGCACGCTTGATGCTCTATTGTGCGCTCTATTTATAGAATCCCCTGTGACTTTTGGAACTCCAACTTCCGCCGACGCATTAATCACGCTCCTGTCGGGCGCATCCAAAAATAGTCGCGCGCCGGTTGCCATTTCAAGATCAATGACAAACGATCTGTGGACTCGGTTCGATTTAGTTCCGCTTTTCGCTGCAGGCGCTGGAGTTTAGTTGGCGCTGAGCAGTTGGGCGCGAAGGTTCGACTTCCGTTGACTTGGCTATCGCCTAGGTTGTTAAATGGGACTAACTGTTTTTTTAGTTATCTTACTACTAACCCCAAATGGACTCTGGGCAACTTTGAGTGTTTCCACTGAATAACGCCACGAATTAATCTGAATTTATCGCAGAAATTTGCTTCGTTCGCTGGGCAACACCTCGAAGCTACTCGGCGAGGCGATTGGCGAGCGGGTGGCCTTCAAGGCAAAGGGCGCCAAGAAGCGTCTGGACAAGAATCTGAAGAGCTCCACGGAGGCCATAAGCAGTCTGAGCGCAGACGCCAGCAGCCGGCTGAAGCACGCCAGCAAACGTTTTGGCTCCAATTTCTCGCTGGGCAGGCGGGACAAGACAACGGACACTGGTGCCTTATCCGAGTTGGAGCAACAAATGGAGCTGGATCGACGCTGCACCATGCCCAACACGGACGTCTTCAACACGATACAGTTCAGCAGTCCGCTGCATCGCAATGCCGTCGGCGGTGGCCATACGGATCTCAGCGGCAGGAGTGGCGTCGTAGGCGTGCGATACGGCAAGCAAGCGTTTCCCAATGAGCAGGACTACGAGGTGCCCAAGTCAAAGCCGAAGCCCAAAATAAAGTCCAAGCCGCCCAGCTACGATGAGGCGCTGCGCGCTCGGCCCGCGCCACATCTGCCCATGGCCAAGAATCTAGCGCAGGAAGCCGCACAGCTTGTGCAGCTGCGCAATCCCCAACCGCAGCGCCAGTCCAGCAGTGGCGAGTCGACAGGCGAGGAGCTGCCCATGCCGACCTATCCGGCGCCGCGTCTCTCGCAACAGTTGGACGTAGTTCAGCCTCCGGCGCGGCATAAGCGTCGCAAGAACTATGAGAACATCCAACTGCGTCGACCCAATGTCGACTCGGCAGAGCTCCAGGAGCTCAATCGGGTGGCAGCTGTGGCCGAGCGCGAAGAATCGCTGCTCATTTCTGCCAACATCGCCGTCGAGGAGGCCCGTGCGCCCAAGCCCGAGCGCAGCGATTCGTGGCACTTCTATGGGGACGCCAATGAGCCCGACGCCGAGCCGGAGCCGCAGCCAGACCCGGAATGTGAGTTCTGCTCTTCACCGGAGCCACTGTATGCCAACCAGGAGGCCACCTATGGAAAGATCTTCGAGCTAGCCACCAGTAGCAGCAGCCGCAGTAAGGTGCTAACGCCACAAGTGGAGTTGGCCTGCATCAGCGAGGATGGGGAGTTGGATAGCAACGATGGGGCCGTAGGGGGCTGGTCGCCGCCGCAGCCGCCGCCGCCAGAGCTGATCGAGGAGTTCGATCCGCTGATGGGCAAATGCTCAACGCTGGCCCGCTCCACCAAGAGCAACGAGCTGCTGCTGCTCGAGCATCTGCTCGAGGAGGACACCTACGGCACCATCAAGCGCGAACAGGATGACGTGAGCATGTGCACCTCCGAGGAGGACGGACGCAGCGAAGCCCCAGCAGCGAATGGCAGTGCAGCAGCAACAACATCGGCTGCTGCAGCAGCAACTGCGGCACGCAACCAGCCGCAGATTGTGCACCAAAACGCGCAGCTGCTCAGCGACAGCATGGAGAATATGCTGGACGATGCGGACTCACTAGACATCTCGGAGATACGTGCCCGGCCCTACCTCAGTCGCCTCGAGGAGAAGCCAACGGCAAATCAGGCAACGGTTGATCTGGCAGCGCCATCGCGCAATCGCACCAATTGGTTTGTGGGCGACAAGTCGCAGACGCATATCGAGGGCGACAGCCCGCCAACCTACTTGGAGGCCATTGGGGGCGACGGCCTGCCCGTGTCCAGCTCGGCCACAGGCGCTGGCAGCTCTGAGTCGAAAAACACATTCGGCTCGCGCTTTCGGCAGACGATGAATGCCTTCTCGAATGTTAAGTTGCGCGTGGATGCCATGAAGCGGCGGGCAAGCTTCAAAGGCGCCGCCCAGCGGCAGTCGGACGTGAAGGTGGCTCTGCAGATGGTGCCCAGGCCGAGCCTGTCGCCGCTGCTGGTTCGCTACGAGGGGCCGTTGGCGCGCTTTCCGTCGGGCGTTGTCGAGGACATACTGAAGGAGATGCAGAACCGCAAGGCCATATTGCGGGATCGACAGTTCCAGACGTACCTCGACCAGGAGATGAAGACGCCCAAGGAGCTCATTCCACTGGACACCATCACGACGATACAGTGCGTCAGCAACAGCCGCGTAACCGACAGCGCGACGCATTTCTACTGCTTTGAGTTGACCACATCGCAGCCAAAGAACGGAGCCAGTGGCGTCGATGGCATGTCCTCCAATCCCAATCTCCTCATGACATCCAATGCCTGCGGCAATGTCAAGCAGCTGCGTGTCGCCCATCTCTATGGCGTTTGCAAAGAGTCCGAGCGCGGTGTCTGGATGCAAAAGATACTCGAGAGCCTCACGAACATTGTGCCCGTGAAGTACACCTGCCACTACTATCGCGCCGGCTGGTGCTACTTAAAGGTAAGCCCAGCCCAGCCCATTACCAATCCCAGCCAGCTAATCCATGGTTTGCCTTTGCAGAATTCCATCACCTCCGAGTGGAGCGGCACCTGGCTTGTGCTGCGCAAGAGTCAGCGTCGTCTCATCTTTGTCAGCGAATGCAATGGCAACGTAGAGAAAATGGACTTGAGAAAGGCGCGCTGCATAGGTGAGTTGCCTGAAGAATTCAGGAAAGACCACACTGACCATATCTCAGTAATATCATCTAAAGATAGGACAGAATTTTTGCCGCTAAAGCAGACAGCTTGAGGAAACTTCTTCTGCTTGGCTAAGAGACCCGAATCTGGCTAAGAGACCCGAATCTAGAATTACAATTTGAACTCAGGCAGCGAGCAGCCATCCAATGTTGTTCAATGGATAAGTGGCTAATGGTATTACCATGTCGATAAGATTGTGTTGCAGTTGGTTGAGCTGCAAAAGCCTCAACACACAAAAATGATTGATTTGGCAATGTTAGATAAAGTTCGCCGAGATAATAGATACATAGAAATAAACTTATAGACTTCGATAGCTGCCGGAACATATTTGCTTTATTTGTTAGCAGCGGCGGTGGCGGCGGAGCACAAAATTAACATCAATTAAAAAGACACAGCTTTTCGCCCTCTCACTTTAATGCGATATTCACCTCTCGCTCTTATCGTTTACAGTTCTGAAAGAGAACGATGAGTCGATTGACAATCTGCACGTGGAGAGCGGACCAATTCTGATGATCGACTGCCCGCCGTATGCTGTCTACATGATAATGAGCTCGGCACGCGAGACAAAGATCTGGCGACACATCATCCGGGAGGTGGCGCACAATAACGGCTTCTCGCTGGGCGATCAGCAGCTGACGCGCTACGACGTGCCCGTGATTGTAGACAAGTGCATCAACTTTGTGTACATTCATGGGTCCATGTCGGAGGGGATTTACCGCAAGTCTGGCTCGGAGAACTCCATGCACAAGCTGATGAGCGCCTTCCGTGCTGACGCCTTCAACGTGGAGATCACGCGCAACGAGTACAACGAACACGACGTGGCCAACGTGCTAAAGCGCTTCATGCGCGACCTGCCGGAAAGGCTGTTGGGCAAGCTGACGGACAGCTTTGTGTTCGTCACCGAGCTGGCTGTGGCCACCGAGAAGATACCCATCTACAAGGAGCTGCTCAGCCGCCTCAGCACCATTGAGCACGAGACGTTGCGCCGCATTGTTGGCCATTTGGTATTCATCAGCTCGCAGCAGAGCAAGAACAAGATGAGTGTTCAGAATCTGACCATGATATGGGGCCCAACGCTGCTGGCCAAGAAGGTAAGGCCATAGGTCTGCTCCTTTATGACTATGCCTAATATGCTATTTGCTTTCCACAGTGCGACGAGCTTATCTACTCCCAGAAAGAGGCCGATGTGCTCAGTGATCTGATTGTGCTTTACAAGAATCTGTTTCCCTGCGGAGCCGACGAAATGGTAATAGAGAAATCCACATCGAACCTATTTCTAGAAGCTTTCAACTATTCTATACACTGAGATTGACACAAAGTAGTCAATAGTCCGATGTGTCTGAACCTTCACGAAGTTAGGACTAGCATATGATACTATGATAGGTGGGCTGAAGCAAACTCCTCTTACAAAATATTCTGACCCGGCCTCTGTGATGCTTCCACAGATGCTTTCGAAGCAAAGCTGATAGTCAACCATTATGAATTATAGATAGGCGAGATTTTGTTAATTATTTTCTAAATTTGAAATCAAAAGTCTGAAGGAGTTGTTATTGAACTCATAGCTGTTCAAATGATAATACTGGCATACAGGCATATAGATATTTCAGTCCTGTTCTACAACTCAGTTTTTTCAATGGTTTTGCCTTTTAGAAAAAGGAACAAGCGATGTTAATGTGCCTACAAAAATACTATGCTGCCGCCGAGACACTAAAGGATGCTGTAAAGCAATCGGGTGACATCAAGATTTGGATAAGTCTCAATCCTAACCCGGACAATACCACAGAGGTGAGCTCAGAACTTGGTTAAAAACTTTAGTAAATCTGTCCTTTTGCTTGCAGGAGAAGACTCAGGTCAATGCCACAATTTCACCCACAAAGACCGCCTATGAGCTGTGCCGCGAGTACTCAGCCAAGATGGGCCTGGCAACGCATCAGTTGACGCTGTATGAGGTTATACTTAACGACAGCCTGGAACGGCCGCTGCACCACGACGCCAAGGTGTTCGATGTCATATTGAATTGGTCTTACTGGCCGGAGGAGGATCGCAAGCACAATTATCTGGTGGTGCGACCCATTGAGATGCTGCGCGAGGTGCAGCGCGCCATCAAGAATTTGGCAACGGTGACGCCTGGCAAGGAGCTGCGCTTCGCCGACTACCGCACCAAGTCCTTCAAGCCGCTGCAGTGCGAATTGCGCGATGGCAAAATTGTTGTCTCCAAAAAAGACAAAAACGACAAGACGAGCATTGTCCGAGAAATCTTTCTCCATAGCTCCACGGCGTACTTGGGATGCGAGCGCAAGCGCGACTTCCCCTGGAGCTGGGCCATCACGTTCGTGGAGCGCACGCAAGCGCAGATTATGCGGTAAATATAAATAAATTGAACTGTTCATTGATCTGACTATCACTGATCTGATCTGATTGCTCTTCTGCAGGTCACGCGATGCACCCTTCATTGGACACGTGCTGGCGGGCAGCGAGTGGGTCGATCGAACCATCTGGTATTCGAGCATTTGGTACTGTCTATACGGCGAAAACATACTGCCGCCCGCAGAGATTATCATCAAGTGAAACCCGAACAGCCAAGCATTCGCCAATTGCCAACCTAATCTGCCTGCACTAGCATTTAAATGATAGTCAGTCGAGCTTGCAATTTTCCATGTTCCCATTAGCTCTGCACTCTTTTGTGTGGCATACTTTTGGCTGCAGCATCGAGGGGCAATCCGCAGCTTTTGTTTGCTAATTTAACTATTATACAGTCCGCAAAGTATGCAATGCAAATGGTTCTGCAGAATTCACGTGAAATGGAATTTTCAAGCATGCCTGGAATATTTTTATTAAATTTTTTTTTGTACTATTTAAGCATAGTTTGCAATATCGCTTAGTACGTAAGCGCGTTATTTTGTAGATATTTGGAATTTATTTTAGCTACATACATAGGTACTTTTATACCAGCGAGCACATACATATGTTATGTATACACTCCGTCGCCGTATTTTTTATCTCTACTCAAATTCGATTTTTTCACAACGATCGCGATAGCAAATGTGCAAAACTTGTCAAAAGGAAGTTGTCATTTGTGTATTGCGAGGAATAAAAAGGATCTAATATAGACTAAATTTAGATAGTTTAATATGTGAGCATGCATTACTCCAAAATTGCTACCCACTGCGAATAGCCAGTCCCCATTTTACAACTATTCGGAGCTCGGCTTGTCGACATCCGCATTTAGATTAGCCTAACTCCTTCATCACATCTGTGTACTTATGAGTAATCTGCCAAATTCGAAATCTTTCTAAGAACTATGCCATTTATCTTCAACCTAGCTAGTTCTTTATGGATGCAGATGTGCCTATAGGACCTTCATCTATATAAGTGGCTCCTTAAAATAAATATAAACTGGCATTCAGTTTACTTCGCTCTTTCCAACCACAACCATATTCTTAATGCTACTCTTGATTATATGACTTTTTACCAATTATATATATATATATATTTATTTATGTGACTATCAAGACCATTCGGATTGTACGCACGCACTATAACCATATGGAAAGTACGAAAAAATCATATAATGCACCCAACATATTTAATTGCCAATGCAAGACGATATTATATGAAAATAAAAGCAAAAATTTTATCAAATACAATATTTAACTATTCTTTAAATCAAAAAAGAAACAGCAAATACTTGCGCAATCTACTTGATATGAAAAAGTAGACCTAAGGATGAGTCAGCTCAGAAGTTCTGTGAAAGACAATGGAATAATGGGCTATGACATAGAAACGACGGAATTATTATAGCCGGAAGCCACTGAGAATGGCAATTCAGGGTATATTGTTTTTGAGTTTGAGGCGTAGGAGACGCCATAAACTATATAAAAATTCTGGATCAATCAATTCTTGATGAAAAGCCAAGTTTATTCGTAGATATATTCGCCAAGCTACAGTCAAACCTATGTATATAAACCATATATAAAAATCGTTATTTTGACTTTATGGCGTCATTTGAATGTCCCGAAATCTTAAATTTACTGAGTACGTCTGTATTATAAATATATATTGGGATTTGGATACTTCTCCCCAAGATTTCATTGGATCTAGAATCATCTAGAAGAAAAGTAATTCAACAATTATTTTGCCAGCTTAGGGTATTTGCTAGTCGGGCACTCCGAAGCACTTCTAGGGCACTCTTACTTACACTCTTAATCGCCTTAAGATACTAGAGCTCATTGTAAGATTTAACCAAACACATTTCTGGAAAGCGAAAATTTCGGGCTGTGCCTATTGTGGGTCGGGTGTTCCAAGAGTTGGCAATGTATGAGCCATTGTTGAGTAAACAATTCAAGATGATTGCTGTGTCGCTGGAGGGTGCTAGAAGATCTTTCGAGATAGATGATGCGCTTATCGTAAACGGCCAATAAAAGAGGAAAATAAATATGAACTATAATAAAATATGGACTGTGACTATGCGACGCTATCACAAGCGAGAGCTGCCGTAAAGCCTATCCGGCTGACTGGCCGGGCGTGTGGCGCACATTATTTGCTTTTGGCCAAAAATAAAGCACTGCGCACAGTGTTTGCAATGGGCCATGGCCCACAATGCGCCAAGGTCAAGTCCCACAGGCGCACACGGCAGACGCGTGATGCGTGCAAACGGATCGACAGACTTGCCCGACATATGCGTGACACACACACACACACACACACATGCACATTGATATGTATTTTGCATTTGCATTGGGCCCACTTCCGTACAGGATGGCCTCGCTAGCGCCTACGCCGCCGGCATGCCGAGCGCGGGACATCTATTTGGGTGCCAAGCGAGACGACCATAAAATGTTGAGTGCGATTCGGATCGGAATTGGAATTAAAATTTTAACTGAAACTGAAACTGAAATTGAAATTGAAATTGACATCGAAATCAAACTCGCCATCGAAATCAGTCGCAATTAAATGCTAATGGCTCTGGCGCGTTTGGCAATTAGGCCGATAGACGGTGCGATAAACACAGTTGCATTCTAATTCAATTGCCGGCCAATTAGCCGCCGGCTTCTAAATGGGCTATAAATGTGTTGCATCTGCAGCTGCGGCCGCACGATGTCCACAATGCTGCGACTGCGCCTCGTTGCCTGTCTGCTGGCTCTGCTGACGCTGCGCGCTGAGGTGAGCTCCCAGTTCTGTTATTGTGTTGCCTTTAAAGTGGGATTTACTGGTAGTCGGCCAGCTACGAGGTCTTCCTCGATGAGCGCATCTTCCAGGAGTCCTGCGACAGCAAGGAGGACAAGGGCAATGTGCCACTGAGCGAGCTGCTGGACAACCATCTGACGAGCGTCCTGGTGGACGACACATCCTATATGAGCGGCGACTTGATTGTCAAGGCGCAACTGCCACCCGGGCACATCAGGTTCGAGGCAGACATCAGCCGCCGGGAGCGCGGCCGCTGGGTGCAAACATTTGTCTCCCTCAAACGCGACAACTTCTGCAAGTCCCTGTTCGACCCATTCGAGCTCTGGCACTTATACATCATCACACAAATACCCAGGCAACAGCGCATATGCCCGCCGCAGAAAGGTGTAAGTAATCCAATCGATATATTTATATTTTGGCACTGGACTATCCTTGCTCCAGACTAGTTCGGATCGGTCTGTCGGTCCGATCTGCGGAATGCGTACTGCCTAGGCAAACCTATGCAAGATTTCTTGCTGATAGTCGCCAATAGGAATAGTGACATAGACGAGGCTCAAGAAGATATAATAATAATTCCGCTTAGCATTGGAAATGATAGAAAACTGCATGCAAAGAAGCGAAGTTCTTATCGATAACTTTTTATCGATTTCCCAGGCTATACACCTCAGCTAAAGATTGAGCGCCTAGCTATATACTAGGTCCTATATATATATTGAGTTGATGTTCGGTTTCTCTGTTGCTTGCAGCATGTCTATACTTTCCAGAATATTAGCAACCGAATGCAGCTGGAGAACATGCCCCGTTGGAACATCGTGGGCGATATCAAGGCCGTGCTGCACTTCAGTGTGGGCAATCTGACGACGTGTGTGGCTCTCTATTGCACCGTCAGCTTGTTATAGTTTGTCCTGATTTAAATAGGACATCAACTCTATGTATAGCTCTTGGATATGCACCATTTTGTTGCTGGCTTCCCCGTTGGCAGTTCGTTTGATGTTTGCACTGATTTAATGGGCCGTATTACACTTATATCTAAATTAAATGCAAATAAACAAGATTTCATGCTCATGTACAAAAATGCCGCGTAATTTGCAGCCAAAGTTCTCATCTGCGGACGCGATAAGCGGCCATCGTACATGCTCGTAATCCCAGCGAAACGAAATGGAACGCTCTGCTCCCGTAATCCACGTTGCTATTTGCCCGTGGCTCAAAGTCAGCCCCATTTCAGCAGCTGAACTCATTCGCCGTCTCGCTCATTCGTTCACTCCACAAGCCGCTGGCGCGTGATGCCCACCAAACACCCGGAGAATTTACGACATCCATATCATTGCGGCAGCTCGCACTAATGCTTTGCGGATTCCCTCGCCCACTATCTTCTCTAGATCTCACGTGGTTGCCATTGCCATGGCCATGACCATTGCCATTGCCACTGCTCCTACCTCTACTTTGTCCTAAAGACCCAACAAAGCTTTCGCCTTCTGGTAAAGCATTGAGGGCAATGATTTCGATGAGTGAATCACAGAAGACAGCTCCACTACTCTGAAGCCATGCATAATGTGATATCAGGGTATGATGGTTTTGGGAAAATGTACGTAACAGCCAGAGGGAGGCGTGGCAGCTCCCATATAGTAGATATATTCTTGATCAGGATGAGGAACTCAGTCGATCTAGCCATGTCCGCTTGTCCGTCCGTATGCCACGAAAGCTAGAGACATTGGAATTTTGTAATATACTTTCCGCACTATGAGCCAGTCGATTGTGTTATCGATAACTTATTCCATTTCGTTATTATCGATAAAAATCGATCATTTGACATCGCTTTTTAAGCATAGCGTGCAAACCGTAAATGTTGCAGACTTCAAATTTACTGTATAGAATTCTGTAGTAAGTACAAAGGTTTTGTATATTTTGGATACCTCCCCACTCCACTCCCTCCATTCACCAAACTCACAAACAACGTCTTTGAAATACTAGCGACTTGTGCTCCGGCAAAAACAAGCAGCTGTATGCCATAATTACGCTCTGGAAATTTCATTTAGAAAGCGCATCTAGAAGAAAAGTTAATCAACAATGAACTTCTCATAGTATAGCCCACAATGCAGTCCAAGCGCAGTCGCTGCGTCAACTGCGCAGTTAGCAGAGCGCGCGCGTGTATGTGTGTGTGTGTGTGTGTTGCTTTCAATGTATGTATAAAGAATCGTGGAATGCTTGGAGTTTTACCGCCTCGCAGGGAACAGGGTATCTCCTAGCCGAGCCGACCCGATTAGAGCACTCAAACTTGTTATTTCTTATAGCAATACAAATTACAGTGGAGCCCCGCGTGAATCTATTTGCTGGGCTAAGAGTAATATGGTGAGGTAATGAAAAACCTGACGACACTGATAAAGGTTGAAGCTTTGTATAAAATATGTAGCAAAAGAGGAAATAAATGAACTCAATGAAACAAAAACACTAGACAATAACTAAGCGGGCATGGGGCAGTCGATCATAATCGACCAGAGTTCATTTCAGGAGGAGGAGGCGAGAAGCTTAAGTCGATACTTAGGCGCTGAATACTGCCAATAGTCATAAAACTGTGCTGGATGATATACGTTTACTGTTTCAAGCGTGTAGACAACTGTATATAAATATATATTATTTATGTATAGAATAGGGAATTTCGATTACCTCGCTTTATTAAGGAAAGAGTTTACTGCGCTCGCCTCATTCCAAACACTAATTTGTCACCTGTGCTCGCTATTGCATCAGTTAATCTGCGATATAGAGACATTTGTATCTCAATGTGGACAGGTGAGGCGACTAGAATATACCCTGTATGCCGCGCCAGGCAGAATATACGACTACAACATACCCTGTAGTTAGCTGAAACTCGAGTATTTGCTTTGAGATTAACGCGAAGTTGAGGGAGATGCGAAAAACCTAGGTAAGACACGTTTCATCACGAAGTTAATATTTAGTTGGCGAGTTGAAAAACATCTCAGATTCATTATTTGATGGAGCAATAGCTCAACTGTCAACTATCCATAGATATATGGCTTGGAGAGTGTGTGTGGGCTGCTGCCTCTGTTTCGCAACGATAAAAATGAGTTGGGTAAACAGTTGGGGCTATTAAACTTAAGTCTTGTCAAATAGCAAAATCTATATGTACCCAGATTTTCGCATATATTGTAAATATCAATAAATCTACGCGGACCATAGACGCCTGTGTCGCTTAAATGACTTCGTATAACTGCACAGCCCATGCCCAATTCGAAATTTACATAGGATACTGAACGGTTATTGGGAATGCCTATTGTAGTCTATATCAAAGCAGCCTTGGGGATGATAAGTTGAGCTGTAATACTGGCTCCTAGGCTGAGAGGAGTATATTCGTTGGGTGCTAGGCTTCGTGTGGAAAGTCTTCTCATGACTCGAGGGCATTTGATACACTTCGCGGCTTTCGAGCTGGTATGTCTGGTATTTGGTTTCGCGTGCGCTATTATTTATAGGGTATTTGATGGCATATACATTCGGCTGAATGTATACAAAGATAGCTGAGCGTATGAAAACAAGTTTAGTATACGTACCAGGTACAATTCACGACCTTAATATGAATGCAATCCAAACTTCTGGGTAAACAAATTGAAACACAGCCTAGTGTTGGCTATCAAGGTCTGGGGCATGGGGAAGAGGTTGCCAGTGGCTGAAATTCGATGTGATTGCACAGCTGACATCAGCCCGCGCCTCCGATCGTATCGATCGAAATGGCAAAGGTGTGATGGATGTTGCGGCCAGTCGTTGGGCTGCTCGTAATGCAAATATAAACAGCTTACAGCCATTTATGTGTCTTTATAGTCGCACAGTGCAGTAAGCTATAGTTTCGCATACTCGCTGGTATAATAATAAAATACTAATAATAGAGCCACATGTGAGCTGCTCCGTGTTTACATCATAAATACTTATTAACTACTTATTTGCCAGCCGCTCGAGTTGCAAGTGCTTCAAACTAGTCGTGACCTGTTATTTGCGGACTGAGGTTAAAAAATACAATAACATAAAATACACACACACACACACACATACATGTATATATATATATATATATATATATATATATATATATATATATATATATATATATATATATATATATATATATATATATATAGAAAATACAGTCGAACTTCTGTATAATAAACTGCATCTCATTAATGACTGCTGCGCGCAGTCTACAGTGAATGAGCATTAGCCAAAGTCTTGCTATGAGCAAGCAGCCTGGAGGACACTGGCAGCAGCAGAGTCCAGCTGATAGGGTAGCTGCCTGTCGAGCTGTCTCGCTCGCAGCTTCACTCTTTAGCCTTAAAATATACTTAATTGTCAAACTGAACTCGGCATAGGCTAATCAAATCCAGACAACATTTTAGCCTTAGCATAAAGGCAGTTGCTAACACGATCTACTAAGCCTGATTCTGATCCTTGTGGCCGCCTCGGAAACTGATTAGCAAGTTGGCATTGGAGTTCAATTACAAAGACGTTGCAAAGAATAAAGTTTGTTTGATATTAGTTATTAGTTATTATTATTAGTTATAGCTATGCCCATCACATATGAAGCACAGTCTCTATTCGAGACAACTGAATTCTGACAAAAGTCTAACAACTTCTTTACATGTCAAAAGGCAACATTCAGCAAGCAAGTACTTAGCCTAGCCCTAGCTCTTCGAGCTGCAATTAGCTTGTTCCCTTCCGACTTCCTTCAACTCGCTAATCTATAGCTTGTATATTTGCAGAACATGCTAAAAAAAGGCTTAATATAATATTCTGTCAAGGTCCCATTTGTTAGCGTAGCTCCATGAAGTCTTTAGTGAGCATTGAGCGAGCATTAGGCAGTCGTGTATAGCCGTTGCGCAGTCAAGAGCTAGTTTTAAGCGACGTTGGCTGTACAGTAGCATATCAAAGTTAATCGGAGCTGCTCTTCTCTATTACAATCGGTTGGCTCAGGAGGCCTTGCGTGTGGGCTGAGGCTGGGCGCAGGATAACTTTGACAGCTGAAGCTACGGCAACAATGGACTGATGTAATTTGGTTGGCTGAGTGTTTTCCCAGCGCTGCGCATTGTCGTGCTGCTGCGAGGGCTACTCCAGTGCACTTCCTTTTGTTGATAATTTGCAAGCCCCTTTGTATATCACTCATACGTAGCGTTGGCCCTGCCACGTAAATTGCATGAATTAGGCGTTTTATTTATTGCATTTATATAACTGTTAAGCACACACATACACACAGAGATAAATGTTACGAAATGCAAATAGAATGTCACTGTTAAATGTCGCGCTTACACACACACACACACACACACGCACACACTGTGATAGAGAAGCGCGTGCAATTGTTGTTGCTGCTGCTGTTTGCTTGCATTTTAATTTGTCAAGATTGTCAAGAAGTTACTGCAATGTAACAAAACAAAGCAATACAAAAAAAGTGGAAAAAAATTACAAAATTAAAAAGAATAAACAGCAACAAATTCACAATATTAATAAAGAAAAAAAAGGTTGTCGCACCCCGCTGACAAGCGATGTCATGCCCCCTGCCCACCCCTCTGGCTGCCCGCCGGCCGACTCCTGCGCTGACTTTCAATTCATTTCATTTCATTTCATTTCATTTGATTAAATAAAGAACAACATTTAATCAAATAAGGGGAAACAGTCGAGTGCAACTGAAAAGTGCAAACAAAGCCGAGCGTTTCATTCATCTGCTTCTTCTTCAACATATTTATTTTATTATTATTTTCCAACTGCTTGTATGTTGTTCTGTAAACATTAAATAAATACAAATTAAATTAATTAAATGAATAAATAAATGCGGCAGACACGAAAAATGTTCAGGAACAAATACAAAAAAAAAATTAAATAAATATCATAATTAAGTGCACAAGATGACACGCAAGTGGAAGGTTATTTTTCACTCCTTCAGCAGCTCCCCCAAACCAAATCGCCCCCCTCTCCACGCACTCTCCATTGCCCACTTCAAACAAGTTGAAG